CCCACCTCTCGCGCGACGAAACAGCCGCCCGCCGGGCCGTCGTCGCCACCGCCACCACCTCGACCGCTCGCCGTCTCCTGGCCAAGGTCGCGGCCCCCGAGCCGAGCGAGAACTTCCTCGCCGGCAATGCCGCCTCCTACATTGACGAGACCTACCACGCTTGGAAGGCCGACCCCAACTCGGTGCACAAGTCCTGGCAGATCTACTTCTCCAATGTGGAGAAGGACGTCCCCCCCGGCAAGGCTTTCCAGATGCCCCCCTCCAACGGCACCCCCTTCCAGGTCCCGGGCGGCGGCTCCATCGACAGCAAGACCCTGCGCGACAGCCTGAACGCCCAGCTCCTGGTGCGCGCCTTCCAGGTCCGCGGCCATGAGGTTGCCAAGCTGGACCCCCTGCGCATGAAGGACACCGTCGTCCCGCCCGAGCTGAAGCTCGAGACCTACGGCTTCACCGAGGCCGACCTGTCCCGGCCGATGGCCATCGGCGGGTCCGACGTCTCTGGCATCCTGGGCTCCGACACCCCGAAGACCCTGGGCGAGATCCTGGAGAGCCTGCAGCAGACCTACACCGGGTCTCTGGGCTTCGAGTACATGCACATTCGCAGCCGCGAGGAGTGCAACTGGCTGCGCGAGCGCATCGAGAGCGGCCCTCGCAAGTACACCAAGGACGAGAAGGAGGTCATCCTCGACCGCCTCATCTGGTCTGACTCCTTCGAGCGGTGCGTATATCCCGAGCGAGGCCGGCTTCGGCTCTCGCCGGTCGGCCGGGCAACCATCATGCTGGCCCATGCTGTGGCTGGGGGCGAGGGCGAGGGCGAGGGCGAGGAGTGGGCGCAGTGACCAGGTGTGGGCTGGGGGGGGGGCAGGAGCCACAGGCGGGGCGGCAAGTGTGCCATGTGCCGTGGTCATTGCCTCCTCCTTCCCTTTCGTTTGGATTTTTCCAACACCAAAAAGCCCATCGCCCCCCCCGCTCGTGGGTTTGGCCTTTTTCCCTTCTTGCTGACTCCCTCTTCTTCCCCCGCCGCCGTCCAATCCAGCTTCGTCGCCACCAAGTACCCCTCCGAGAAGCGCTTCGGTCTGGAGGGTGGCGAGAGCCTCATCCCCGCCATGAAGGCCATGATCGACACCGCCGCCAACCTCGGCACCGAGAGCATGGTCTTCGGTATGGCCCACCGTGGTCGCCTGAACATGCTGTCCAACGTCTTCCGCAAGAAGCCCGAGGCCATCTTCTGCGAGTTCAAGGGCACCCCCGACGCCAACGACTCCTTCGCCGGTGATGTCAAGTACCACCTCGGCATGAACCTCGACCGGCCCTTCGCCCAGGGCAAGAGCATCCACCTGTCCATGGTGGCCAACCCTTCTCACCTGGAGGCCGTCAACCCGGTGGTCATGGGCAAGACCCGCGGGCAGCAGTACTTCTCCAAGGATGAGACCCGTGACAAGAATGTGTCGGTTCTGATTCACGGTGATGCCGCCTTCGCCGGTCAGGGTATCGTCTATGAGTCCCTCGGCCTGACCAACCTCAAGAACTACACCACCGGTGGTGTTCTGCACTTTGTCATCAACAACCAGATCGGTTTCACCACCGACCCCTTCAACTCCCGCTCGACCCCCTACTGCACGGACGTCGGCCTGGCCCTGCAGGCTCCGATTGTCCATGTCAACGGTGATGATGTCGAGGCTGTTGTCTTCGCCGCGGAGCTGGCCGCCGAGTACCGCGCCACCTTCAAGAAGGACTTCATCATTGACATGATCTGCTACCGTCGTCATGGCCATAACGAGATTGACCAGCCGGCCTTCACCCAGGTGCGTCTTCCCTCCTGCCTTTTTTTCCCCCCCTCTCGTGGTGGCGGCCATGCCACATGCGGATTCGCCTGTCCTCTTCTTCCTTCCCCCCCCCTCCTCCTCCCCTCGCCCACTGACCGCCACGTCGTACCTTCTCTCGGCCACGCTCCGATGGCTCTCTCCCCCCCCCTCTCTCTCTCTCTTCCCCTCCTGCCCACACCCGGCACGCAGCCCCTGATGTACCAGAAGATCAAGGACCACACCACCACTCTGGACCTTTACATCGCCCAGCTCCTGAAGGAGGGCTCCATCACCGCCGAGTATGTCGAGGCCATGAAGGCCCGTGTCTGGCGCACCCTCGAGGAGGCCTACGAGCAGTCCGACTCCTTCAAGCCCACCGACGAGGAGTGGACCACTTCCAAGTGGATGGGCACCGGTCCCGAGGGCATGCGCTCTCTGAAGGACGTCAAGGAGAGCATCATCCCCCCTCCGGCCACCGGCGTTCCCGAGGCCACCCTCAACAAGATCGGCCAGGCTCTGTGCACTGTGCCGGAGGACTTCAACATCCACCCTGGTATTGCCCGTATTCTGGACGCCAAGCGCAAGGCCCTTGAGTCCGGTCAGGACATCGACATGCCGACCGCCGAGGCCCTGGCCTTCGGTGCCCTCCTGTCCGAGGGGACCCACGTCCGCATTTCCGGGCAGGATGTCGAGCGCGGTACCTTCAGCCACCGCCACTGTGTCCTCACCGATCAGAAGACCCAGGATCGCCACATCCCCCTGAACAACCTCGGTGAGGATCTGCAGCGCGAGCATTTCACCCCCACCAACTCCTCCCTGTCGGAGTACGGTGTGCTGGGCTTCGAGCTTGGCTACTCCATGGCCAACCCCAACTCCCTGGTCCTGTGGGAGGGGCAGTTCGGTGACTTCGCCAACACCGCCCAGGTGATCATTGACCAGTTCATCGCCAGCGGTGAGACCAAGTGGCACCAGCGCTCCGGCCTGACCATGCTCATGCCCCATGGGTATGATGGTGCTGGCCCGGAGCACTCCAGTGCCCGCATTGAGCGCTTCCTGCAGCTGCACGATGAGAACCCCCGGGAGATGCCCTCCCTGGAGAATGACAAGATCCGTCAGATCCAGGACACCAGCTTCCAGGCGGTTTACTGCTCGACCCCGGCCAACTACTTCCATGCTCTGCGTCGCCAGACCAAGCGTGACTTCCGCAAGCCGCAGATCATGTTCACCTCCAAGAACCTTCTCCGTCACCCGAAGGCCCGGTCTTCCCTGGCCGAGATGTCCGAGGGGTCCGAGTTCCAGCGTGTCATCTCCGACACCGGGGCCTCGCTGACCGCCGGCCCGGAGGGCGTCCGCCGTGTCATCTTCTGCACCGGGCAGGTGTACTACCAGCTCGATGCCACTCGTGAGCTGAACGGCGAGAAGCTCGGTGATGTGGCCATTGTCCGCATCGAGCAGCTGGCTCCCTTCCCCTTCGACCGCGTCGTGGCCGAGATGGACAAGTACCCCAACGCTTCGGAGATCGTCTGGGCCCAGGAGGAGCCGATGAACGCCGGCTGCTGGTCTCACTTCGAGCCTCGCCTGCGCACCGCCATGCGCTCTTCCACCCATCATGCTTCCAAGCTGAAGGAGCAGTTCGAGCCTGTCATCTATGCCGGCCGCCCGCCCTGCGCCTCCCCGGCCACCGGTAACCCGACCAACCACAAGGTCGAGGAGAAGAACCTCCTGACCAGCGCCTTCTTCAGCCCGGAGTCCGGCGTTGTTCCTCAGAAGTTCAACAACAACCAGCCCATCTTCTAAGAGAGAGAGAGACGACAGAGAAGGCATCTGGGAAAGACCCGACGGCGAGAGAGGCCAAAGATAGAGCCAGAGAGAGAGAGAGACAGAGAGAGGGACGCGCTCCTTTCTCCATCTGCCATCGAGGCGATGTGAGGATGGCGGAGCGGGGCGGCCCGTGTTCTCTTTCTGGCAGGTTGGCGTGTGTGGGTGTTGGTGTGGCGCGCGGCGGCCGGCCGGCCGTGTGTGTGCGTACATCGGCATTGTGTACGGTGTGTGCCCTGTTGCCACCAGGGCCTGTCCGCGCATCCACATCCACACATCCACACATCCACACATCCACACATCCACACACACTCCTCCCCACGGCGGAAGCCATCCAATGTCCTTGCTTCCGATGAAGCAGAGCGCGCACGGAGCGAGACACAGTTGTGTGGGCATCCCCGAGTGTGGTTGGTTCCGACGAGAGAGGGCAGAACGCAAGGCGACACGACGGGGCGAGAGAGAGCACCCTGAGAATGGGCATCGGGGGAAGATGTCAGCCATGGCACTCTGGTCCCCCCTCTCGCCCCTCTCTTTCGTTCTTTGCCGTTTGTCTGTTCCCCCTCGCGCGCGTGCCTTGTCATTTGCATCGCCCTATGTGTGTGTGTGTGTCTGTATACACGCTCCGCATCTAGCTACGGTGTGATGGCTGGGCCCGAGCGGGGAAGCTCCTCTCTCTTTCTCCCCCCTCTCTCTTTCTCTCTCTCTCTCTCTCTGTGCTGCACCTTGCCTCGTCTGTCTTTTCCTACCCCCCTCTCCCCCCTTGCCACCCTTTCCCCGTCCTCCCCCCTCCTTGCCTACCTCTCTTTTCAGTCTGAAAAATAAAAATATCCTCCTTTTCATTCTCCTTTCCCTCTTATCTTTCCGCTCTCTCTCTCTCTCTTTTCGGACAGTGTTCACGCGTGTCCACTCGGGTGTTTTTTTCTCTCGTGGCAGCCATTCATCTCGCGATCTCTGGCATGTGTGTCGTCCGCCCCCGGGGCGTACCCTGCCCGCTGGTGTGTGGCCCCGTCGCGGCGGAGTGGCGCCCACAACTCAGGACGGGTCCCACTCCCGAAAGTACTTGAAGTTCTCGTCCACCCTCACCACAGTACCAAGGTTGGATGGCCGAGTGGTTAAGGCGCCAGTTTAAGGCACTGGTGGGAAACCGCGTGGGTTCGAGTCCCACTCCAATCATAACATTCTTTTTGCCTGCTCCACCCTGCTCAGCTGGCAGGCACGCCCCACAACACACACCCCTGCCTGCCATCAGGGAAGGAGAGACGGGGGCAGCCCCACCGCCTGCCCAGGCCGAGGAGGAGGCACAACTCATACACGGGAGGGGGGGAGACGCCCTCAGCTGTTGAGCTTTTTTCTGAGGCCGGGCACCCCCCATAGCCGGCGCGCCGGAGCCGCACGTAGTACTGAGCAGCGCTCAGAGCAGAAGGCCCAGCCCCCGGGGTGTTTCGGCCCGCGATCCCTTTTAATGCAGGAGGCCATGAAAGGTGCACATCCCGGGCACTTGAGCAGCAGGCGGCCGAGACGTTCTCGAAACAAAATAGTTTTGTCAGGTGCTCTCTCTCTCTCTCTCGCCGATGGCGCCACAGCAGGAGGTCGGTCTGACCCCGATCAAAAGATGAAAGCTGGCCCCAGCCAGGATCGAACTGACGACCTTCGCGTTATTAGCACGACGCTCTAACCAACTGAGCTATGGGGCCATGTGATGGAGGGGGAACAGCGAGAATTTGAATTTTTCCCGAGAGATTGCCCTCTCCTTCTCCCTTGCCCCACGGCTTCTCTTTGCACACACTGACCGAATGCCGCGCCGCGAAGAGGATGGACATGGTTCGCCGCAGCGGCAGACACCTGCATTTTGTGCATTTCGCCATAGCCACAGCCTGGTAGCCATCGAGCCCAAGCGTCGATGGCTGGGTGGGAGATCTTGTCCAAGGGGAATGTCAACCATTGGTGTGGGTACCCTGCGGTCCCGGGAAGGTGAAGGACACGCCGGGACACGGGGCCTGGGGTGCCACATGCTACATGTGCCTTCGCGTAGGCTGTCGCAGCCAGCCGGAGGCCCAGCGAGGGACTCAGACAGTGGTAAGGAAAGGGCCCTGGGCGCCACTCCGAAGGGAGGGGAGGCATCATGGTTGTTGGTTCGCATGGTCGAGGCTGCTGCTGGGGTGGACGCTCAGCAGGATCCCCCTACTCCTGAGAACCTCTCGAGGATGCTCCTCTTCCTTGGCTCGCGCGTGGTTGAGTTTCGAGTGTGGCTTGGACATGGCCAACCCAATCGGCGGTCATATACAAGCAGGGGCTGCGAGCACGACCAAGGGCGCTGAGGCCGCCCGGATCCCCCAATCGAGAGACTCAGTTAACGACCCCCTTGTCCGAGGCGTCACACCCAAGTGCAATTAAGCTATCGGCGATGGCTTCCGGGCCAACGCCAGCCGGAGGAACGTCTGGCGCTGGAGGGAGGCTGGCTGATGGGGCGGGGCATCACGAGAGGGACAAGCCTGCTCCGGGACTCTCGGTTGCCTCGAGGAGCTCCCGTTCTCGGTCTATGTGCTGGCGCGGTGGGACACGATCTGGAGAAGGCACTCCGGATGCCCGGAAGCCGTCCACAGACCGCCCCCGAACATGCGTGCCAAAACAGCCGCGCGCCCCCCCCCCTCCCCCGCCACCCCCGCCCGCACTCGGCTCCAACAGTGGGCCGAATCACGGCTGTGGGAGGCTGTCTCGTTGGGCCTCCCCCGTTTGTCCGACGATTGAATGAGCCCGGTCCTTGGGCTGAGGAGACATTGAGCGAGGTAAAAGCCGCTGATTGCACGCGCGTACATCCATGAGGCGCATGCTTGATTGCTTGCCTGTGTCCGGTGTTGGTCAGTGTATGGCGACCGCAGCATCGAGGTGTTCGTTCCCTTCCGTCACAGCTCGCCTTGTTTGGTTTCACACCCCACCGAAGGCGACACTTGGCATGGATTATCCAGCTACTTCCCGGGTTTGGTATGCCTCATGCAAGTGCGCTCGACTGTGTGTGTGTGTGTGTGTGTGTGTGTGTGGCAGTTTTTAAACACTCGGGGCCTGACGCGGATACGTCAGGCGATTGCGGATGTGATTTATTCATCCGGAAAGACGGCCAGTGTGTTTGCCTGAGGCGGGTTCCTCCCAGCCGCGATGGCTGCGAAGCGCAGAAAAAATAAATACCCCGGGTGCCTTGACCCTTCCAAGGCCGCGTAGCTCAATTGGATAGAGCACCTGACTACGGATCAGGAGGTTGTGTGTTCGAGCCGCATCGTGGTCACTTCCTTTTTGACGGAAGCGGGCCCAGCCTTTTCTTGCGCGGGCTTTTCTTTCTGGGCTGG